TTGTGTCTACAATTTGGATCATTCAAACAGAAAACTCATGATAGAAATGCACAGCAAAAAGCAAAAAAAGAAGAAAATCTATTTAATGTTTGTGACAGAAGTGGAAGAGAGGGGATGATTGAAATGGGATTTCCATACAGGAAAATAAAACAAGCTCAGAGTGGGCTAACAAAAAAAAACAATCATGGGTGGTGGATTATTGGATTAAAGAGATGTTCAGTGATGAATCTGGGCTGGTCGAGAAGGTGGTGTTGGAACTTTTTCCTGAAGAAAACAAGCAAATATCCCCACTCATTCATGGTATGGGGGTTGGAGGACAGGTGGAGAACAAGAGGAGGCAGCAGTCATTGACTCAACAGTAACTGGACAGGTGTATGCTCAGATTTGGGACTTTTTCTCATTCCGTGATGAAAGGTTTTGGTAATGATAAGGTGTGCAACCTGCCACTGAGGAAAGAGTGTTAAAGGTTTTTCACTTCAGGGAAGAGGTACATCAAATGTATGGTGGAAACTGAAGGAAGTAATGGTTCATTCTGCAAAGCTGATCTGTCAGATCTTACTCATGCCTCAAAGAATTCAGAGTACTAAAATTGTGATGCTTTTGTTATTGATTCCACATTTTTCATTTCCCATTGATTAAAAGAATCCCATTGAATGTGTTTGGTGTGTGCTTCATGAGAACAGGCTGCCCAGCTATTAAAGAACAATAGATTTGACCATATGTGTTATATATTTTATTCTAGGTTCAACAAAAATGAGTATGCATCCTCCCAGTATGTCGATTCCAACATTTCTGGCTTTGTTCATAATTTAGTCGATTAATAATAAAGCGGAGGCAGAGTAGGGAGGCATCTATGGCCGTACATGTAGCAGTCAGCATCAATAACGTGAGATTTGCAACACCTGGCGGCGGCTGACCAGCAGAGTGGAGGGGCTAATTAAAAAAGAAACTGGACTACTTTGGGGGGGAAAGGGGCGTCGTCGCGGTGTAAAATACTCCTCTGTGCTCAGTGTAGAAGGAATTATTTTTAACGTTAGCAGAGAACGAGAGGCAGAAGAAAAGAGCGCACGACAAAAGCCTTGCAGGGACCCACAGTGTGCAGCTAGCTGGTGATTCCTCCATATTGCCTTCGTGGTAGCAACTAATGTAGCGGCTCAGGTATGCCTGTCGGATGTAAACACCGCGAATAACCGCACAGTATGCGGAGCTAGTCTCCTGAGCAGGTGTCTTTTTAATACTGACTTAAAATAAACCTTCCAGCTAGCTAACGTTAGCCTCATGCACAATCCAGCGTTAGAGCACGTTTGGAAGGAGGAGGGTGAAAAAATGGAACTCACCGATGACTTACAGTGTAATCGGTTTGTTTTAAAACTTCCGCCCGAGCCGAAATGAAACAGCTACGGCTATCGCAGGTTTACGGTAATAACGTTTGTGTCGGTTTGTTGTCGAAACACAGAGCCGCTACCTTCTCCACGGCGAAATGTGTCGTTTCCGCCCCTTCGTCTGGTATGAAGGGAGCAGAAGAAGGAGGGGGGAACGCCCGCTGGAGCGCGAGGAGGAGCCCCTCCGCAGACCGCGAAGCACGCGGATGGAACGCTCAGCGCCAGCACGCGCCACTCACGCTCCGTACGGACGATATACAGATCTACGGAAGCAGCATGCGCGCAAACGCCGGGCTGGAGATGAACGAAGCGGACCTCCCTGCGTTATAAACACAGGTTATAGATGCTCGAGGTGCTTTATAAATCTGTGCACAGCTGGATAAATACCCAGGCGGGGAGGACTACCAAGCGGTACTGCCGGGGTCCCAGGGAGGCAGCGGGCGTCCTGAGCTAACCCTGTTTAAATACAGTGTTCTTTATATCACAGAAAAATACACGAAATAAATACATAAAAAGATAAAGATGAAAAATGATTAGACAAATAAAGCTGCAACGATAAGTGACCAAAATTGAGCGCGAAAGACCATAAATTATTATAGTTTTGTGTCATGAAAAATGTTTACATCTCTTTGTGTTTTGGTTAATTGCATTTAATTTTAAACATGACTACATGAGCAATACAATCATTTCATATATAATAATGTATCTATAACAACGAGTGTGTTTTTCGTATCAAATGCTTTTACTTTATTGTTTTAAAAAGCTAAATTTGCAGTACATGCATATATACACCTTGCATAGATAGATAGATAGATAGATAGATTACATTAATAATATGTGCTCTATAAATCTAAGAACCAGCTACAAGAAGGTGTAATACAGAAATATGTGTTTGGCGTGTTATGTTTGACATAGAGCAAGGAGTTAATAATGTATAAATTAATTTAACACTGCATCTTGTAATTTTAACTTAGTCTGAATTTTCAGATATTCTGGCTTCAATTAATGGCATTTTCCAGATCAAATAGACCCTCACCCTACATAAATATAAATATACTAAAGTCTACAGTTAACAGGGAGTGTTTGCAGACCTTAACAAGCTGTTGCCTGTGGCTCATTGAGAGAAAGCATGGCCTCAACAAGTCGAAACAAGGGAAAGACTTTTATAACTACTTTAAACATGGAGTGTGGGAAATGATGCTTGCACCCAGTCAGCTGTGTCTTGGATTATGTAGTTACTCATAGCAACGGCATCCAAATGGAGAAGGCATGCTCAAAATGCGCAACACAACAAATAAATGAGTATGATTTGAACATTTCTGTTTGGTTTCCACTTAGTGGAAGACTCAAGCTTTCAGACACAAACCTGAGGTGTGACTGTTTGGCAGCTAATCTAGGAAGAAGAACTGAACAAAATTATTCATTTACCTTCATATTTTATTTTATTTTTTAAAAGTAATATTCTGAATTAAACTGTTAAGTTAAATATTTATTACTTTTATTATTATTATTTATTTGGAAGCACAGCTGTAAAAGATTAAAATGATTAATTATTTATTTCTATTGTTATTTGTTATATTGCCCTTTTTAAAATTTATTTATTTTTAATATACACACTTCAGTGATCTAACTAATTCTAATTTTAACTAAAACAACTAGTTTCTACTTATTAATAAATTTATATACACATTAATGTACCACTGCTTATATCCATATATTTTGCTTCCATGGACCCAGACTGTCTTGTAATTTTTAGAATTAGTTCTCCAGGCTTTCTGGGGGTCTTTCATATATTTTCCCTTTGGCTACTTTTTATTTTTAGGGACTGGGTTGCTAACATAACTACTATGTCATGGTTTGGTGCTGTATTTCAGCCAGTGGTGTTGGGGATCTTTTTAAAACTGATGGAATTATGAATGCAGAAAACTACCATCAGGTTTTGATGTCCTCCATGCCATCTAGCATCTGATAGGCAATGGCTTCATTTTGCAATCATCCCAAAACACTGCCAATGCAGTACCTGGATAGAAAAACACACAATGCAACTCTATCAGTCATGCACTGGCCTCCTGGAAGCACGGACCTCAATTTTACTGAAGGAATAGCAGGGGTTCTGCTTCCTGAGAGTACTAAAAAAAACAACACCCTATAGTCAAGGAGCTGCTGATGTCCTTCTATAGATGTTCTGTTGAGTGTATTGACATATTGCATGCCAGTGGGGTTTGTCAGCTGCACTGCTCAAGAAAAGACAGCACTCCAGAGGGTCATCAGCACAGCACAGAAGATCATCAGCTGTGCTCTTCTCTGCTAGAGGAGCTCTAAGGTCCCACTGCCACAGTAAAGCCCACAGCATCCTGAAGGACGCATCCCACCCAGGACATCACCTGTTCCAGCTATTAGCATCACGAAAGCAGTACAGGATAATAAAAGCTGAAACAAACAGTGCACTTTACAATGGACTCTACAATGACTCAGATAGACACACACATATATATTTGTACACATTTATATTTTTATACTGTATTTATTAGAAACTCTTATTTTAGTATTTTTTGAATGGCCAGAGTGCTTTCTTTGCAGTGAATGGGACAGCATATAATTCTGATGTGCTTTTAGTAGAATCATAATAAAAGATCCAGATTTTCTGATTAGTGAAGCAGTGTGGCGTCATCATGACAAAGAACAGAAGAAAAACCAACCAGCATCCAAAGATGAGCTTAAAAAGCCTTCAAAGAAGATTAGGGAACTGTTCCTGCAAACTACTTAAAAAATTATTAAAAGCTTGCCTAGTTCAGATTGTATTAAAGAATTAAAATATATATAAAGAAATGTGCAGTGGATCCAGGCTCTTGCTCAGCACTGAGCACAAGTACTGATAGTAGACTCATAGGAAATAAGTATTTTAGTTACGTTTATATAAAGTATGAAAAGTAGTGCTTTTAGAAAGATGTCAGAAATTATGGAAGTGTGTTTTCACCACAGTATTTTTGATAAGTGATAACTTTTTTTTTTTTTGCCATTTTTAAGTCTAAATTTTGAGTCAAGAACTTTAAATGTCGGAGTTTTACCTTTTTTTTTTGGTAAGTTTTGAGTTATTTTCTCAACATTTGGAGTTAGTAAGCCCCAGACAACCCTAATCTTAATCACTAACCGTAACTTTGAATTATTAAGTTGAAATGTCGAGATAATAAGATTTTGAGTAATTTTGATGTGGTAAAAAATTTCTGTAGTGGAAAAAAATGCTTCCATAAAAAAATGTATTTTCAGTTTACCACACAACAACAACAGTCAAGCAGCATTTATTTGACTGACTGAGATGTAAATAAAACTTTATTGTGCCTGACAAATATCTTTCAAAAAACTGTTTAAGAATAGAGGTATTAAATTGTTTAGAATTACATATAATCAGTATTTCAGTTATCTCGGGACAGTACCGCATCCACACAGCCAAATTTACCCGCTTTAAACTTTTACTCATAATATTTAAGCAAACTGAGCATTACATTAAAACAATTTGATCATCGTTTGCTGTTTTTACTAATAAACTGAAAAAGAAAAAAAAAAACGCTAGCTTTTCAAAGCCAGCGGTTTTTTTCAAGCCCCTCCCTCTTTACGTGCTACCCTGCACTACGCGGTGACGTACAAACTTGACGCGACAGGGGTGGAGCTTGTGACTTTGCGAAATGGAGATAGGAGCTGCCGGTGAACACAGTCCTCTGTGTTTGAATAATTTGTTGCCAAATCGAGCTGAAATATCGACAAACGAAACCAGCAACGTCGACCACAGCCGACCGGGCGAGACCACAGCAGCCAACGTATGAAAGTAAGTACCTGCTAGCTGGAGCTAGCCCTTCAGCTGGTGTTTGTTTGTTAGCCACCTTGTTGAAAAGTACAATTAGTCAGGCCAGGAGACTAAACGAAACACGTTGTTGTTAAGTCTTCACCTCTTCCAAGTGGGTGCTCATATGTGGTTGTTTTCGATTGTTGTCAAACTGGTTCAAGAGATGCCAGCTAAAGCAGAGAAAAACACATTTACGCGGTGTTTCTGGTGGAGAAGTAGCTGTTAAAAGTGTCTGTAACAGTAAAAGGAGATTTTAAGTGATTGTCCCTGTTGTGTTGATTGTTTTGAGACTATAGCTATGTACATGTAGATCATCCTGGCTTTTTTAAATCTTTTTTTTTTTTTTTTTTGCTGAACTCACGCATCCTGCTTGTGTGTTATTTATAGCTTATTTGCTAGTGCACTTTATAAGAGGAATCTATATTTAAGACTGGCCACAAAACCACGATTACATGGGGAAATTTTTGTAGGCCAAGAAAATTAAGAGCATGTTCTTTGTCACATATTGTCTGCTTTTTGCCCGAAAACCCCCGTGTACATATTGTTTACAATAAGGAAGCACTGATTTGCAAATTCTGAGGCGATATCAATACTAAATTAGACCAATAACCAATTTCGTGGTGGTTATTGGTCCTGATATTCAGCTGATGTTTGGATGCAGTCATAGTTTACACTTTGTGCTGAGTATCAATACCCTTTTTCAGTTGCTTTGAACTTTCACAGGACTCAATACACGTGGAAACTTTTGGGTTTCGTGTAGGTTTCACTCAGTGTTATGTCATTTTCAAACTGGTTTTAGGAACTGGTGGAAGAAACCAGTCAGTCAAAGTTAAATTAAAGACTTGAACTGACAGTGGTTTAACCAACTTCCAGTATTTGGTTACTGATAACAGGGAAGCTTGCAAAGCAGGAAACAAGACTAACCAACATACCTTTAGTCCTGTGAGGTGTAGTATGAAGCAAGTTCAACATAGCTGGGTTTCCTTGTGTCAACAAAAACCTCAAACCCCAGTTGGCGATAACGGGTGTCATGATGGTGATTATCAGTGTTATTGGTTAACTCGGGCTGCCTGCTTTAGGCTGTGAGCTCTCTCACGTAAACAGCAGGGTGTTATTTTTGCACAAATTGGACCGACTGAGTATGGCCTATTACAAATAAAATAAAATACAAAAGGTAACACTGGTGCTGCAAATCGGTCATGCATTCATTTCTCACATGACAGCTGCACGTTGACACTGCAGCTGGTTAAACTGGATCACTTTAAACTTAGCACATTTAGCTCCAGCACTGCCATGTAGCCTAACAAAGTGGAAATCACTTTAGTTTTTGTTTAGATCAAAGTGAGATTAGTTGTATTAATTGAAAATTATGGATCTACTATTATCTGCATTTCCCAGCAGTGTAAAATGCACTTGGCAGCTATATTAGGAGCAAGCAGGAAAAAAATGTTATGCACTTTCTGCATCAACAGTGGAATAGAAATGCTTCTGTAACATATCTCCACAGCTTCCTTTGGGCTTGTTAGTAAGATGCAGCTCAGCAGGTTGGATGTAAAAGGTATTCCCTCAGTGGAGAATCTGTATCACTCTTGGATTGTACTGTAAATTAAAAGAATCAGTGAAAATGTGGTGCTTGTAGCTCATTTTAAACCAGTTAATGTATGCATTTCTCTGTCAGGGTAAAAACAGAGCAAAAAAACTGTGACTTTAAGCTTACATGTTAATCTCACTTCACACATGTGAAAGAGTGGCTGCGGGCTACTCATGGTAAATAGAAGTGTGCGTGAGAGTGACTCAGTTAGTCTGAGCTGCCCAGCTTCTCTTTCAGAGAGTGATTCATGAGCTCATGACGCCACTGGTGAAACTTTCTCAATGTTCAAAAGGTTTTGACGCAGCTGATCTGATTGTTTGCTCCTCTCTTTGCAGTGCAGCACTCGGTAGGATGATCAGTAATCACGAAGAAGATGTAAGTACCTTTTCCCTCTATCTCTTATTTAAATGTTTTAATTTTCAACACAAGTTCTGCTTTTGGTGAACAGTAAAGAGAACTTTCTACACATGTTCACACTAGCCTTTAGCTAAACTGGAGAACAACAGATTGATGAGTAAAAGCCTCTGTAAAAAACAAAGTTGGCAGAAGAGGCCTGTGTCGTGGCAACAGTGTGGTGGTTTCACAATAATGACACAACAGACATGCACACAGCACTGCTGACACGCTTTGTGTGTCTGTCTTTCAGGAGTTTGTGGCAGTGCGGGTTCAAGATCCCCGCATTCAGAACGAAGGCTCCTGGAACTCCTATGTGGATTATAAAATATTCCTGCATGTGAGTGTGAAAATTAACCAGCAGCAGAAATGTTTGTCCACAGCGTTTGTGGGTGATAAAAGATTTTCATTCAGGTTAAAGTTTTGGACCAAAAAACATAAACACTTGAAGAGAACACGTACAGTTCTGGGACATCACAAGGTTTTCTTTCCACACTTTAATTGTAGTAGTGATTATAGTGCAGATAACAGATGAGCATTACAAGTAGTTTTATGTCAACCTACGTCTCAATTTGACTGTTAACACATTAAAAAAAATTAATTGTCTTTTGATAATCATTTATAAGCAGAAATGTGTAGTTTAAACCAGGTTATATCAACTAATTAAACCAGAGTCATAATTCAAACTGAATGTGTGTTTAAGCACTGCTGCCTCAGAGCAGGAAAATTGTTGGTTTGAATACATTGGTCCTCGTTGCCGGTAATAGGTTGTATTCATTCCCAGTAGGTGTTGGACTTCCTTTTTTTCACTGATTCGGTCAAAATTTTATGGACAGGATTTCTGGGTGTAGCCAAGTCGCAGCTATGAGAATTGGCACCTCCAAGTTTGAGGTCGTAGCTCTCAGCTGGTTCACAGAACCCACTGCAGGTCAGGGATGAGTTGTTGCTGCAAGTGCCTCTGTTAGAGCTAGGGTTAGGAGCTCGGTCATTTGAGAAGGACTCAGAATGTAGCCGCCACTCCACCATATTGAAAGAAGCCAGCAAAGGTGGAGCACCGTCTCACTAGGATGCCTCCTGGGTGCTGGTGTCCTACAATGAAGAGGCAAACTCAACACATGCTTGAGTCATCCCAGGGGTTTTGGAGGTTTTGGCTTCACTGCATGCATCCATCCATCCATGCATGCCTGCATGGATGGATGGAGTACATTACAGTGCAGATAAAATGCAAAAAATACACAGACTTGAATGTTAAATGACATTTCTCCCTGAAACAACACACTCGAGGATTTCTTCAAAGTTTTTTAACAGATAAGACTATAAAAGAGTCGGAGCTTTACCGCTCCTTAAATGTTTTTTTTTTAGGGGGGGAAGGAGTTTCATGTTGTTATGGAGACACCAGCCGTGCCGAGGAATGCTGTTTCAGCAGCTAGGCTTCATGCCTGGGCGGATTTCCTCTGTGTCTGTGTGTTTGTGGGAGCTGACTCATGATATTGGCTAAAACTATGCAACCTCACATGATCTTACATGGGTTTGTTTATTGTCGACATGTTATTGTGTTGCATAGGTGAGACAGTTTCCTCAAAAATACTTTTTTTAGGACAAAAGTTAGCACTTTTATTGCCTCATACTTCACAGTAACTATAAACCTGTCCAACATTTAACTGCCTAAGCTCTCTCTATGCGTCTAAATCTAACCAGGGGTTTTCCTGCATATAAACATTTTTGCGACCCACCAGAGAGGTTCTGACTGTCCAACAAAGGGAAATCACAAGTGCTGTGCATTTGTCTATAAATGGGATTTAATTTAAGTAGACGCTTGAAATACATTCCAAGTGGCTAAAAGTAAAAGTGAATGCACAGATAAATTTAAGTGGACAAAGCGTATTCTTTGTCCTAATTTCATGCATAATTCATAATTTCCCCGCTCAACTATTACTTTTAAGGTCCCAAGGGGTCTTCTGGCTGTTAACTCTGGAAAGCGTGAGGACTTTACATGAGTTAAACACGACCTTTATCTGTAGAAGGCCAATATAAAGGATACCTAATGGGGAGATGCAGGAGGCGACACATTATTGTTGTTGCAAAAAGGTCTAAAGTCTTTCTCTTATCATCTTTAAGAAGTTTCAATCTTTAGCAGGACTTTTGCTCGCCTGTTGATTGAAATGTAAAAATTTTAGCCCATTGATTGCCCTCGATGTTTTATATCAGAATCAGCATACTTTATTAATCCCTAAGGAAATTATGTGGGTTACAGTTGCTCCAGTACAGTAACAGTAACAGACTCGACTATTTGACACTACAAAATGTTACAGATTTACACATTTAAGAAATAGCACAATATATACAAAATACATAATAATATATATCAAGAATTGACAGAGGTGATTAGAATGTACCAGGTCCAAGGTGTTGGTAGATTGCTTATTAATGAATGAATGAATGAATAATATATTTTTAAAACAAACACATTATTCTTTAAATAATTTGGATTAAAAAAAACGACCAAAGTTAAAATATCATTTTACCACAATACCTTGTTTTGCTTTTTCTTTTTTCCCCTGAGGGTTTACTTGCAGATGATATTTATCACATTTTCCATGACCTTTGTAATCCTACCTGCATCACCAAAGCGTGCTGTGGGATCAGATGTCAGGACCTTGTAGCGCTTCCGTTCTTCTTTTTCTAAACTTGTAGTTTTGACATTGTTTGCTCCTAATTCAATTTTATTTTACATCTTAAAAAGCGTGAATTTGGATTCTATTTGTTATTTCTTTAAAAACCACGGACCTCGTTGTTATGTAGACATGACTAGAAAGTGTCACATGTTACTGGAACAAATCAGACATGTGATAACTTCATGAGCTCAGCAGAAGTTTCACCAGCTGGAACATGACTCACTAAAGTCGCAGCATGAGTGTGATCATCAGTGGCATGAGTTTACTGAAAACCTGGCCCGGATGTAACCCCGACACTGGCCTAAAAATATCTGACTCTTTATTATGTTTTTAGGCAGGAGTAAGTGAAATATTTGGGGCTTATTTTTTTCTGTTTTGAAAGAATCTGCATTTCATGTAGTTTTGAATATTTCCGGCACAGAGAACAACACCCTTTTCCCCCTTCTCTTTCTATTGACGTCAGGCTATTGTGCCTTTTGATTTTAATTATATTATAAAAAAAGCTCTCAAAATATCACCAACTTTCCCATTTTTAATACTTTTATTTTTTTTCTCAGACCAACAGTAAAGCCTTCACAGCCAAGACATCCTGTGTGCGGCGGCGGTACAGTGAGTTTGTGTGGCTCAAGAAGAAGCTGCAGAAGAACGCCGGTTTGGTGTAAGTCAGCTGGTCCAGTTTTGTTCTGTTCTTTGGTCCTCATAGAGATTCAAGATTCAAGAACTTTATTGTCAATACAGAAGTATACACAGTATACAGTGTACCGAAATTCACCCCAAGCCTCCCACGGTGCATTTATAAGTATATAAAAGATATATCTCCAAGAGATATAAAACTAGAAATTATAAAATAAATAACGTGCTAAATTTCGGTACAATTAAGGGATTAAAAAGGTAGTAATTACTAACTATACAATACTATAATGATAACTATACAATATTAACTGTACGATAAATAAAAACAGGACAGAGACTATACAAAGTGGATAGTGCAGGGGTATTGAATACCAAGTTCAAGTCATTGTCAGGATATTATAGACGAGATATGACAAAGACGGAGATGAGAGCAGGTCGCCACCCAGGGTTTATTAATCCCAAAACAACAATCAGGAAAAGACTTTTAAGCATCCTGGACACAACAGAGTTAGTTAAACCCCCCTTCTCTATAACAAGATGTACAAACCTTATTTAGAGAAATGGACATGGAATCAATTTAGATGACTTATTTGGGACTTTTTAAAAAAAAAAAAAAACACAAAAAAAGACGAAGTCTGGAGAAACAAAAAGCAACAACAATTAAACATTTTGTGTAAATGTCTGTTAGTGATCTAAGGCTGTCTTTTACAAAGATGAATTGTGTCTCATCTAGTAGAGGGATGCCTGAAACTCCATTTAGCTCTGTGAAGCTAAATGTCTGTTCCTCATTTCCTCTGACTGTACATTCACTGGATTTGCATGTGTTAACTGGTGATTCTGATTAGAGGGTTAGGCCTGTGATCGACTGGAGTCCTATCCGGGGTGTACCTGCCTATTTCTCTGTGATAGCCGGATACGCTTCAGCCCACGTTAGTGGTTAAACGGTTAAGAAAATAAATGGATGTGCATTAGCTGCTCTGTGGAGCATTTAGCAGCTAAGAGCCAGATATTTACTGAAACAAAATTAAAACGGGACTGAACAGGAAACTCATCTGCTTTAACGTGATTCTACTCTGCTCATTTCCAGCTCCATGTTTTTATTGTTGGACTTTATGAGAGAAGCTTTGTGTGATTCACAGATATGTCTGAAAGATCCTCCTTTAATCTCAGGGTTCTTCAGTGATGACACACAGAACCAACCAGAAAAAAAAGTGCGACTGAGTGCTTTGGTTCACTGGGATTGCTTATAGAAACGGCGACCTCAAATATGAGGATGCACCTCTGGAGCAGTGTTTCTATGACAGATTTAACATAATTATCTCCACAGACATGGATAATTATTATTATTTATCCTTACAGTCCAGTCCCAGATCTTCCAGGGAAATCCTTCTTCTCCTTCATCAATGAGGACTTTTTGGAGAAGAGAAGAAAGGGACTTCAGATTTTCTTGGAGAAGTCAGTTCTCCTTCTTCTAAAATCAGTATTTGATCGTCTAAACAAGCATTTTCTAATCTTGTTCTACCTCTGTCATTTTTTTCTTTTTCTTTTTTGTAGAGTGGTGCACATGACCGTCTGTCTGTCAGACAGCCAGCTCCACCTCTTTCTACAGACCCAACTGCCAGTCGGTCACATCCAGGACTGTGTCCAAGGCCACACCCCTTACTCCGTGACAGATGCCATCCTCACGTATGCCTCGTCCAATCAGGGGCTAGCTCAGGCACAGGAGGACGATTTGATCAAGGAGCCATGTTTGACCGTTTCTTACGAATCAATGGAAAGGTAAGTGAAAAAGATCAGAACGGTACCTACAGAGATGATTATGCATACGGGTGTATTGCAAACAGCAACCAATGTCACAGGCTAAAAACAATGACTGCAGTACCTCTAATGCCCACTTGAGGCTCACTCCAAAAGTGAGCCAGTCTAATAGACTTCCATGTTAAAACCTGAGAGTAGATATAACATGTCTATATGTTTATGTCCATCATTTATATACAGTCTATGATTGTAAACAATAGACTATTTATATTCACCAGCTGAGACATTTGAAGCCTCAACATTAGCATTTAGCAGTTACCATGTTGTTGTTGTTTTTTAAGCCAGCAGCATCCATATTTGCACAAGAGGATTGAATTTTAAGTTTTCCTAAATAACCAATAAAAATCTAGAATTTCACTGACCAAAAGTCACAAACTTATTAGCTCAGTTAAACACACAGCAGACAATATTAACAGATCACTTTAAAAATACTCCAAAAGGCACAAAATACTACAAATATGGCGGAGAAGGCCAGGTGAAGTCTAGAAGTTTCCAAATCGATGAGTTAAAAAATATTTACCCAAAGAGACCAAAACTTTTTTTGTATTAGACCATAAATATGTTTTTTTTTCTGTAGTAAAGTTGGGCATTTTAACAATGTCTATGGGGGACTGACTCATTTGCAGCCAGCCTCAAGTGGCCATAACAGGAACTGCAGATTTTTAGCCCTACATGTTGCTGCTTGTTCTTAATTCGGCTGAATGTTGGCGGTTATATAGAGCCCTTTCTTCTTTATCTTGTTTAACACATTACAAAAAAAGATGTAAATTGTTGGGATTGGATGATTGATTTTATGATTTATTTATTTATTTATTTATTTATTTTTGGATGATTACTTCTCCATTCTGGAGTTTTTGTGCTAAGCTGAGCTAACCAGCATAGTCTCCGTATTCTAGAGCTTTTCCTTACACCTCTCCCCTTTAGTAGCAATGTATCAACTCCTCATTAAATGTATAAAATGTTTAAACTGAACAATTTCTAAACCCTTCCCGTTTTCCTCCACAGCCCGGCTCCTCATCAACCTTGCCAACAACCTAATGAGACCATCAGCCCGGAGCTCGTCTCATGTGGTGACGCTGACCCTCTAGAAGGTTTACTGGAGGTCCATGATCAGGACCGTAGGAAGAAATGCTCAGTAAGGATTTCCCAGAAGAGCAACCATCTTGAGGCCGTTCTTGAATCGGTTCTTGAGGACAGCGGCCCGTCAGAGGCAACCTTTTATCTGGGGGACAGTCCAGAGAGTCTTAGCTCTGCTGAGCAGATCCAGCAGAGGTTACAGACTCCGGTGGAGGTGCACACGTTCACGGGGATCGGCTTTGAGGACAGCGTGATCGATGGGAAGATTGTTTTACCTCCAGGTGAAGAAGAAAAGGTGGAGCTGCAGGAGAGTAATGAGGATGCTTATGAAGGAAAAGTCAACTGTGAGCCTGAAAAATGTGATGATTCTGAGAAGATTTTAGATTTTAAGGAAAATAACAGTGATGAACACATTTTAGGAAGTGATGCCAGATCTCAGGAAGCTATGGAAAACATCTGTACCGAGAATCCCGTCATCTCTGAGGTTAATGAGGTTCATGTTCTAGAAGTCAAAGCCGACGACCAAAAAGGCGACAAAGCAGGAGGTAACGAGGAAACGCTGCTCGAGTCAGAAATCAGTGACGAGGCCCACATGGTGAACGGCGTATCTGCGGTGGAACAGGATGGTGATGACGCACAGGAAGTGGATTTTGCTGGCAACAAAGACGAAAGCGACGAGGGCGACCCGGTCAGCTCCTCTCTGCCATCTTCCAACGACAGCATCGTGAAGGTCAGTGACGAGGAAAGCGTTTGTGAGGAGGCAGACGACTCGATCCAGGTTGCAAACGACTTTGTGAAGACTCCTCCTGAAGACGCCACTCGCTGGTCAGACGTGGAGGCATCCAGCAGGAACATCATGGACCTGCAGGTGAACGGATATCCTGATGAAAAACTGCACCTTTCTGCCCAGGAGGATGAGGACCTGCAATACACCCTCAGTGACCTGAGTAAATCTGCAGACCTTAACTCTGCTGTAACTGCAGGAGATCTGACTGAAAATGGAGATTTTAGTATCTTAGCAACCAGCCACGCTCGTGAATTGGGTGACGGTAGATGTACCGAGGAGGAAGCCACGCTCTCACCTTCAGAGGAGACTCAGGAGGTGCATTAGTTAGGAGTCTTCCTCTAATATAGATCCACTGAATCAAACGCTCTGTTCCAAACTCTGCCCATCGTACACAGCGTCTTCATATCGTCAGGGTTACGAGACACACCTCACACTCTCAGTCATGTAGGTATAACACCTCCAAAACAGCATGAATCTAACATTAGAATTTCTCTGTTATGTACTGGATCTGATTTCCCTCCTGACTGCTTCACTTCTCCATTTGGCTTCAGTGACCAGCAGAAGGTGCTCGAGTTAAGTTTACGTTCATACTCTAAGGCCTTTCAGTAAGGAAACAGCTGGGGCTAAATTTAGGCAAAATATGCACCTAAATTAAAGGATAAGTTCACATTCCTTTGTGTCTGTAGTGAAACTTAGTGGAATTTGTGGTTCCTGTTCATACTGACCATCAAGAGACATTTTCCTGATTTAAATAAAGAAATAAACAACCAAAAATGCTAACATAAGGTCAGGGTTTTTCTTGCATATGAAAAAATTAGTGCCCACTAAATTGGTTTTGGCTTTCTACTAAAGCAAAATCACCAGAACTGCGACTTTTTTCCTTTCTTTTTGTAAGTCAAAGCATGTTAACACAGAGTCTTTGCATTGACTTTGACCCTTGAGGCCCATTTTGAGCCTAGAAAACCCCCGGAGGGGGTTAACTTGCAAACACAACACTGCTTCCTACAGTGGACAGAGAGAGTGGAAATTCAGCACTTAAACGATTAATGTGAAAACCCTTTATTTAAATCTCTTTGAAAAAGGGATCTCTAAATTCCCAGTAAGGAGAGGAGGAATGGTGAAAGCCACTAAAATAAATAATCAGTGGACACATTTTTCTTTCACGACAGACATTGAACGAAGTGAACTTTTCTCTAAATCTAGAGTTCCTCGTCACATTTGGAGCCTCAAATGAGACCTAACTGCTCTTTAAATGTGCTTCACATGCTGTTAAATAGTTCTGTTATACCCGGCTTGTATTAATTCTTCACAGCTTTCACTGTGCTGGTCACTAACGCAGGATGATACTCGAGCTGAGAACAAGCATACGCACACTTCTCTGATCATGCGTTAAACTGGTATTTATTACTGAAGGATGAGAGGGGAAACAACACACTTAAATCAACCTGTGAAATGCACACAGGCTCCTGTTTGAACTTCTGATCTGTAACAATGTGATTCTTGTTTTGTGTTTATAGAGCTTCATGAAGTAGAAATGGATGCCTTGCACCTTTAGGGCCATGACATGGTTTTACACACACTAAGAGTTTTTACTTATAATTTATACACTCCATTCAGGAAAGATGGGCACAGGTTATTTTTAAGAATAGTTTACTCTTCCTCACACGTGTGAGCTTTAACTCCAGCGGGCCTTTTTCCACAGCAGACACCTGTAAAAACGCGTGTCAACTGAGGTTCATCTAAAAAGAGGACCTGCCCTGCGTGAAATGTAGTCGTGATTAACACCTGTGTGTTTTCCTCTCTCCACAACTCAGAGTGTGTCTGAAATCACTCATTACTCTGTATGCACTGGATTTTATGATGGATTTTACATCTATCTGCATGTAAAGCGTATTATTGCATGCTACACAATTCACTTAAAGTACAGCAGTTTTGTATTCATTTTTATTTCAATTTTCTTTCCTTTTCAGTGCAATTTGTTGATTCCCCGAGTGGGTTTGAAAATGTTCACTTCAGTTTTTATTAGTGTCAGTGATGATTTTAGTTTACTTAAATATTAAAATATAAAGGATATTTGTCATTGGTCAACCTTTTTTTTTGATTTTACAGTGCAAACTTTTCCCCTTTGAGGCAGTTAGACATCCTAAACCTCAGACAAAACAAAAAGTTTACCAGACAAACACTGAAGTTAAAGTAATTTTCTTTTTATTTCTATTTCATTTTAATCATCATTATCAATATAATTTCAGTTAGTCTTGATTTTATTACAGAGTTTTAGTTAAAACTAACAACCTTGGGTTAATCATAGAATATGAATATAGAATTTTATTTATATAAATTAATATTTATATTTATTTTACTTAACCTCAATTAACAAAAAAAAGAAAAAGGAAGCAAACCTAATCTGGAAGCTAAATTCTAGTAAAAGCTAAATAAAAATACAAAGGTACAATAACTGAGTTATCACTAAAAGAAATCCTGTAATTTATCAATTATATCAAAATTTTTAAGCTTACGGCTGTTTGACCACTGTGAAACGTCCAGTGTGATCGTGCCGTCATCCTCTGGCGTCGTAATGAGCGAGTTCAAACACATCCTGAATGCCTGCTGTGGAAATTCTGGTCGTCTTGCCTGTAACCTGTCTGCAGCTTGACAGCGACGTTGTTCCCACAACACTTCTGCTTCTTTTAAGCTGCATTTAAAAGGGACCAGCAGGTTCTATTTGTGAGGTTTCAGACTTTATTTTAATAAGCTGTTTGCATCAAAGCTGTGGAGGGATTTTAACGTTTCACTGGTTTTGTTCCTGGTAATAACTACAGGGGTTTATTTTGAGTTTTGTTTAAATACAGATGTCAAAGAGTACGAGGGTAATGTGAGTGATGGTATCCATGTACATGTGCACATGATAATTTTATTTTATTTCAATAAAACCCTTACCTCTTTACTGTCATGTCATTTTATTAAACAGCTTTTTACACATGACTCAAGACATTGAAGCAAGCCTGCCACCTAGTGGCTCCAAATAAACAGTTTTAAAAATCACCCCTTTTTTTAGAACAGAAACAAAAGCACACAATATTTTATTTTTAGTATTTCCGAGCAGAGTTTACATTAAAATATTTTACATTACTGTTTCTTATGTCAGTTATGAGGAAATTATTTATAAACTAACAATCAACGTCCTGTTTTCAGATTTATCCAGTGGATTGATAAATGCATGCATGCAACATTGTTAATCACTCAAAAGTGCAGCTAATGGTGCTTTTAATTATTGATGTGTCATTTTATTTGAATTAACACATTCACTGTTTAGTTTGGCACTTTTCTGAATTTTCTAAACAGTGGTTGAGACTTATAAAGATAAAGAAAATGAGAAATCTCACATTTAGGACGATTGATCACTTATCAAAACTGATTAACAGACTAATTACTCCAGCTCTAGTGTGCACTTTGATTTTTTTTTTCTTTAAACAGGCTTTTATAAATGGCTTATAGTGTACAAGAGTAAGTACAGCTGCAGCAGGTTTAGGTGATAATATAATAATTTACATTGTTATAAAAGGGGAATAATTTTGAAATGCCAAACGCTTATCTGACAGATGTGTCAAGAGTAATTCATGGCAGGACGTGCCGGCAGCCGCAGCGCTGTGAAGAAAAAGAAACGGTATCAGAGAAGGACGCATTAATAATTCAGTGTTCATTTTAAGCTGCACCTATCTGACTGCATTAGGGAATCATTTTCTTAAATAGGACAACTGACGCTGTAATCATGCCTCTGTTGCATATATTTATCCTCGCCCATTGCCCATTGCAGCACCCGGATTGCTTTATGCAGTACTTCTTCCAGCCAGCAGATGCCATAAATGGCAGGTCAACGACTGCATATACCTCAGTGGCAATCTGGATGAGTACCAGGGGGACCGTTTCTGTGTATTAGGCCACAGTAATGGTCCATAATGCTGATGATAAGAGAGTACCTCGGTACCTGTTGGAGCTCAGAGGATGTAGGCAGGCTGCAGGAAGTCCTTGGGGACGATACCCACGGTGCCGTTTAGCTCGCCGACCCACCACCCGTGAATGTTGTACTCCTGGGCCCCAAAAAAAGAAGAAACAGAGCGGTGAGGCTCAAAGGGCGTCTAGCAACAGGTAAACAAAGCGGGATCAGGCATAAAACCTGCACTTTGATACTGATTTGACACACCACTGAACACACGAGGAGACATTTGAATTATTTTAACACAGAAACCCAGAGAAAAACTATTAGGGTAAAAAAGCTTAACGTCAACTCTGGCGCAGGAAATCCAGGCGAGCGTGGTCCCGTCCACAAAGAGCCATGCGCGGCACTCCTAATGGACACTTTTGGTGTATTAGCCTCCAGGGTTTTCATTAAAAAATGAGGCAAACGGTAAACAAGGCTATCGAGACAGCGAGTGTCTACAATAAAACAGCTTTTTTTAACCGCTCCAAAGCCATCGCCACAGCTGGCCCGTTTCCCCAGACTAATTATAACGAGGGTTCATTTCTGTACTGTGATTAAAAAAACAACACAAAAAAGACGGATTATTTCACACGCATGTTCAGAGAAAATATAAATGCTGGTTGAAGGTGACCGATTAAATCCACTGTGCCTCAAAAAAAATCCCATAAACACCTTTTTTTTTCATTACTTATGATTACAGCATTTATTTACAATTAGGACAGTTCAGAAGCATAATAATGGGGATTTTAAAAAAAAACAAGCTAAGAACAAACAATAAATATCGATCTGGAGGATGTATTGTGACTGAAAACCATCTGAGTCTTTGTGCAGATAAGAAACCCCAGAAATGTTGATTTTTCATTTGCTGAACTGAAAGAAAACATCCTAAAAATATAATGTAGGCAAATTTATTTGAGGCTAAAATTTGGCTTTAAAAATTAATAAATAGAGGTTGAACATAAGCTTTGGTTATCATGGGGGAAATCTACTTAAATCTCAATGAAAACAGGGATTTTTGTGTGTGTTTATTTGTAGCTGAAAGAATCGCAGTTAACTTTAAGCCGAATCAAATGTAAGTAAGTTAATTGATACACACTTATACAGGGAACACAGCAGTTTGCACTGCTTCCAGACCTGTACATTGAAATAATGAAGCTGCTCATTTAATCTGCTTCAAGCATTTAAGGAACATGACTGAACCGCTGCATGATGATCTGATCACAGCAGCCGGGCTATGAGTAGATCTGTACTGGATCAATATTTGGAAAGCGACCGGCTTGGCAGTGGGGGCACAAGCCACCCTACTGGAGCAGAAACCCCAGTGCCACTCATCTCTCCTCTTTTTCAGACCCGACGCGATCGTGCGGACAGTTTATCACACACGTGCAGACACATATGTAAAATAAATTGGTGGGTTTTTTCCGCTGAGTGCATGCCTCAGATTCAGGTTCTGGTTCACACGCACTCTGTTGACATGATGAAAGGCATCGTGTAGGAGGTTTAGCCGATCATCCGGACCTGACACCTCTCTGCAGCCAGAGGAATGAGGCCTGCAGCTAATGAGCGGTGTTTGGACAGCAAGGATGGATGAACCGCTTAGACGGTAATAAACCACAAGGCTCAAGTGTTCTAACAGCACAAACAGGTACCCACAATAAGCAGATTGTCCACCCAGGCCTCATCGTTTTCCCCCTGCAAACCTCTCTGACAGCTCTGACTGGGATGCTCCAGTGTGCTTGGCTCTCTGACAAACTGACAGTTCGCTTTGTCTGAGCTCATAACGAAGGGGAAAGTTAGGGCCGAAATGGCCTTTTTATGCTCCCCATAAGACCGTGCAGGGAAAAGCCCGGTTGCGGAAAGCTGGCTCCGGTTCCCATTCGGAGAACGTGAGGAGAGGAGGAGGAGAGGGCAGACAGACGGACGGTGGGGGGAGGCATCGGAGAGAGGGAGCGAAACAGTTTTTCTCTCCCTTGGGGGCGTCGCAGCACTATTCCACCAACCGTAGTGACAGAGAGTTTTATTTATCTCCGCGGCCCATCTGTGCAGTCGGTCTCAAATTCTCCCTGAGAAAGGTCTTTTGGATTATCAGCGTCGCCATTTTAATACAACTGCTACATCACGGAGTGGGTGCCAATGGCGGTGGAAGTCTGTCAGGCGTGCAGAGTCCATCTTCCTCACACTTGAAATGGGTTCATCCAGAGTACACCTGCTGTAATAGGGACATTCCAAAAGGCTTGCAGACTAAATTATCCAAATGACAAAAACTAGGCTCCTCAATGCCCCCACCCTCCACCCCCACCCTTCTGTTTGTTTTCCTCTGTTTTTTTGGCTTTCAGGCCGTGAAACTCGCAAACGGGGCACAGATAAACGTTTGGGCTCGGGACTAAAATGGAAGATGTTCCCTGTGAGGGGGAAAAATAAGGTTTCCCTGAGGGGTCTGACTTCTGGGAAACGTGTGCTGAGGTGACACGTATCCGAGGCTGTGTTTGCTGCAACCTGGGCGCAGATTGAAGGGGGAGGAGAGGTGGTGGTGGTGGGGGGGCAAACAGCGCCGTGTCGTGGCGGCTGCGGCACGCTGACTCGCTGACCTCCCGGTGACTCCTCCACCAAGAGGAGAGGTGGGGTGGCGGTGGGGGAGAACGGGTGTGGGCGGGGCTGGCACTGAGAGTGGGTTGCCATGACAACACCTGCAGTGTACCGGCGCGATCGTTTATTTACCACTCAGGGGGCTGGCTAATGGTGGCATTCTGATAGGCCCATCGCTCACGGCTCCCCGACCCGCAGGACAGATTGACAGCTACCCCGAGCCTCGAAGCGGGGAGAAGGTGAGTCGAGGTTGGCTGGATGTGGCGACCGAGAGAGACAGACAGAGGGCGGTGGGCGAAGGCAGGTGTCGTGTCACGCCACCATTATCCACCTAAACAAAACACATCTTTAATATTCGTGTCAGGTAAGAAAAAAAAAATCACCTTTTTCACGTGTAAAAATCTGCACGGATCCTGACCACATGTTTTCCTCACACACACGAAACACACACACACACTCGTGCAATCCCAAATGCATACAAACTAGGGGGAGTGCTAATAAGCCTGACACATGAGGCATCTTTCCTCGGCCACCAGCTGACTGAGGCAGGCCTTGGGCATGATGGAGCGCAGGAAGTCTCTCATTGCCCTGCCGCTGAACCCGCCGCCTGGGTGTTACAATCTCTCCCTCCCTCCCTCCTTCCCCATTTCCAACCCCCTCCTCCACCTCCTCTTTTTCCTCTCTTCCACGTCTCTCCTGTAGCAACCTTTCCGCCTGCATCCTCTCTGTTTTTATTCCCCGCTCTCCTCCACATGCACTGCAGCTCTCTGCAGTTCTTCCGTCACTGCTGACCCTAATAAAGAAACATGGACACCTCAGCCAGGCACAAGCACACCATCTGTAACCTGTTATCAGGTTAGCAAGCCCTCCTCGCCGCTCACACAGGTACACTTCACAACTGATAACACCTGAAACTTCAGGCTAGAAGGATCTCCTCTTTATTTTGATGGGGTGGGGAGGTCGAAATCTACTCGGAAACACGGATGATAACTCGGCTTAACCGGAGATGGAAATGGCTACTTGGTGTCCATTTTTTTCCAAGTGGGCTTTTAATTAAATCAGCGAATTGGCTTCAAATTGGAAACATGACAGAGCATGAGAACGTTTGAAAATATCTCAGGGACGATGAGATTTAATAAAAAGAAAACCTACTCGCTCCTTTCTAATGCACGCCTGGGATTACAGATAGCTCCTTAACTTAATAGCAATTTAAAGTGGATTTGTGTATGCCACTGAGTGTCTGTAATGATGGCTGTTTACGCCGCCCCTCATTTATAATAATTAAGCAGAATGGATTGGGGGGTGGGCTGCTCGGACGCTGTTCTGGGCTATTGGCTTGGGCTGAATAATGACCTACTGTAGTTGACCGGGGGATGACC